GGGGCAACGCATAGGTAACCTTCTTCTTTTTGGGTGGTGCAGCGCTGCTTTGCTTCGGATTCGCATCGGTCGAGACAGCTGTGTCGTGGTCCCGCTTGCTTCCAGAGCGCCTGCCACCGGCTTCACACGCATCATTCGCTTGTGCAAGAGTGCCATTTGCGCGCGGATGGTCGCTATGTTCCATCTGCTTGGTTACCCCATCGGACGTTGCATGTGTGTTGGTGTAGCGTTTGTCGTTGGAATTGTGTGTCGGTGTGAGCCCTTTAGGGACAAGTTTGCGAGTAATGAACATGGTGCTACCGAAGTGGTTATTGAATAAGCGATAATGTGAGGAAAAACTCTACGCGTCACAATACGGCACAATATATAATTATATGTATATATGTTTAAATATATTTTGAGAATTTATGTATTCAATTGAAATTTTAGCTGTATTGAACAAGTAAAAAACAAGGTGTGGTGTTCAAAAAGGTTATCCTATATTCTTTATCTTGAAAGATAAGAAAGAAAAAAGCCGGATGATTAGGTCTAATTTTATATTCCTATAATACTTTGTTCTTATTATATTAATACTCTGTAAAACAGTATTGTGACTGTATAGAGGGGGAGAAAGACAATAAAACAAAGCTAATGCATGTTCGATGGGAAAAGAGGAATGAAGGACAACATTCAAAGGAGGGTAATAGGAAACGGCTTTCCTGAAAATATCCAATGGATGCATCAGTCAAATGTTTTATTTCTTTCTCATGTATGAAATGCAAAAACATCCAAACAAAATGTTTTGTATGTTAGTGATGTTGATTATCAACATGCTAGCATCGCAGGCTTATCGCATCATCTCTAAAAACTCTATTATAATTAATTTAATTGTTCCCTAACTCCTTTAGTACGATTAGATAACTAAGAGTGGAATTCACACCAAAAAAAAAGTTCCTAAAAGTGTCATTCAGTCACTTTGTATTGTAAAGATACTGTGTTGCCATGCTTCCCAAAGGTATATAATTAAAATAATAGGGAGAATTTACAGAAAAATAAAACAAGTCTAAAACTTGCCACTCAAGTTTATACATATGGAATTTTCTACAGCCAACATACAGAAGAAAATAAAGAGAAAGCAAAGGAGCCACAAGAAACCGTTGAGTAAAGACATGAGAAAAGCCGCTACAATTTTGTTGAAAGCATTCTTAAACTAGATCCCTGAGTGAATCACTGCTAACTATAAGCAAAGAAGGTCACAACGTGCACCAAACGACCACATGCTAATAAAGAAAATGCCTTCACAAGGTACTTCCAATGTGATTCAATTGGTAAAGGAAGAAAAAATATATAATACAAAGAGACCGGTCCCTATATGCTGTAGGCCTCAATATCACTTCGTCATTTGGTTTACATG